GGGGATCTGCAGCTGTGACTTATCCTCGGGCATCTGGCTTCCCTAAGAATGGTAGAGTAGTTCCTGTTCTTCCCTCAGGTAATGCAGGGCTGGTAACCATCATCTTCTCACTGTCCATAGGTAGAGAAAATGCTTCTATACAGTATATTTCTCAATTGGTTTAAGACAGCTCAAGATTCTTTCTGTTGCTTATGTTTGTAAGTTCGCCCCGGAGGGAGGGGGAGGGCCCCCCCCTCCCTCCCCGCGCAGGGCCCGGGGAGGCCCGCGCAGGACCCGCCACCCAGCAGCCATTTTACCCAATATTCTTGAATTGCAGTCTTTTGAGTGCAGCCTCTCACAAGGTCAGGTATGGAATTTTTCCATTGCGGTGTCACGTCGACTCTCCAAGTGTTGGATTTTAGAGCATTTTGGAGTTCAGATTTTCTGACAAGGGATGCTCAGCCTTTGACAGCAATGCTTATATTTATTCTCATGACTATGTACACGTTGCTACTAAGAGATTTATGGGGGAACTTGAAAAAGTTCACGGAAAATTTAGAATTAAAGTAAGTATTTTGGTGCAAGAAAGTTTAAAGCCATACTATTTTTTAAAGAATTATTTATTTAATTTTTATTTATCACAATTATTTATTAATTTGATCAGAGAGAGGGAAAGTGAGAAAGCAAGGCTCCAGGTCCAGAACTCAAACCACAGCTGTGTGGGAGTCTAGCATCTTAACTACTGTACCACCTGCCAACACCCGTGCTATTTTTTAAATTTTATTTATTTAATTTTATTTGCTATTATTATTATTACTATTTTGATTCACCAAAGAGAGAGAGGGTAAGTGAGAAAGCAAGCTACCAGCTCTGGGATTTGACCATATGGGAGTCCAGCGCCTTAACCACCATGTCACCTACTGCCCACCCATGCTAAATTTTAATAGTATGCATTTTCCGTGAACTTTTTGAAATGTTTTATATATCATTATATTGGTAATTCCAACAACAATCTTGTGAAATATATACTTATATTAATGAGAGAGAGATTTTTGACATGGTGAGAAAGGTATTCTCGAGAGAGAGGGTCTCACCAGCTTACCTCAGTCTGTCTCAGTCTCTCAGAGAGCTGGGACCATGGTGCATGCCACAGCACCCTGCCTGTTACAGAGTGGGACAGGAATTGAACTCAGGCCTCCCATGTGGCCTCAGCTTCCAAGTATCAGTGCCCATCCACTCATACCACTGGGGCTAAGCAGGTAGATACTTTTATAATACTCGTGTATTTAAGAAAACAGAATCTAAGACAAAAAATAAATAGCTCATTGTTCATCAGTTAGAATCTGATGGAACCAGAAACTCAGGGCTTATTTATTTTCTTTTTATTTTAAAAATTGTGCTGTGCAGTACATGTCACTCTGGTTTTGTAATTATAGCTGCTTACAGGCCAACCCTTCCCACGGTGACTCCTACCTTCCTAGAACTTTCCTCTTGGAAGTCACAGTAAGTTCTAGACGTAACTCTGCCTGGAAGATCTGCAATATTCTCCCACGTTCCAAGAATCCTTCTGGAGACCCTAATGTGCTGTTAAATTGAAATCAGTGAGTTTTCTTACAGTATCTAAGAGACGGCAGAGGGTCAGGTAAACTGTCTGGGGTTAGGAGTCAGAAAACCGGAGAGTCAGCCATGGTTCAGACACTAAATTGTTACATTACCATGGCCTCAGCTCCATGTCTTTAGAGATAAAAGGGCCAGTTTGGGGGCCAGCAGGAGGCATGGTGGTTAAGGGTACTGGACTCCCACGTGGCCGACTACAGTTCAAGTCCTGGACCTGGCGGCTTACTTTCTCTCTTTCTCTCTCTCTCTCTCTCTCACACACACACACACACACACAATGTCCCTCTCTGGTCAAATTTAAATAAATAAATAAATAAAGTTAAATAAAATAATTCTTTTAAGAAAAAAGGGCCTATTCCCTCAGTTGGGAAGAAATAATGGATGCAAACATGTTTCCTGACTCTTAAAAAATATATGTAAAGACCTAAGATTCAGTGACTTCCCTTCCACTTTGTGAATAAAAGCATGATTGATGTCCTCTCAATGGAGGGCAATTTGGCAATATTTATCAAAAGCATTAAAAATATACATTACTGTTTTATCTGTAATTCAAGTTTTTTTAAAGAATTATTTTATTAACTTTATTTATTTTTATTTGACCAGAGAGGGACAGAGTGAGAGAGAGTGAGAAAACAAGTTGCCAGGTACAGAACTCGAACCAAGGTCGACCATGTGGGAGTCCAGCACCCTTAACCACCACGGCCTGTGCCTCATGTTTCAAAACAATCTCAAATCCATGCTAAAAAAAAAAAAAAGATGAACAATCTTAATGTCCAACAATAGGCAACTATATAGATGACTATGCTACTATCATATAATGGAATTTGACACAGTTATTTTAAGTGTCTTGAAAAAGAATATCTAATCATATAGGAAGATGGTTCATGATAAATTGTGTGTGTGCATGTGTGGTGTTTTCTTTAGAAGGGGTCTGTATTGTGATCCTCCTGCCTTTCCTCCCAAAGAGCCAGAACTTCAGGCACACACCACTACACCTGGCTTTTAGGATAAGCCAGGAATCGAAACCAAGGCCCACCATGTGGCTTTAGCTCACCAAGTGGCAATGTCCAGCATGCACCACCATGGCTGGGTTCAATAAAGTAAGTTTTTGTTGTTGTTGTGTTGCTTTGTGTGCGAGTGTGTGTGTGTGTGTGTTTTGGAGAGGTTTCTGCTATAGAGTGCATGTGCTCACCAGAAAGATAGAGAGAGACAGAAAGTGAGAAATCACCCCCCAGGGGGGATGGCCACACCATAATCCCTTCTTCTCCATTCTCTTCTGGGGATCTTGGGCACGCACGCACACGCGCCCGGTGTGAGTTTAAGCCACCGGGTCCAGAACTCAAACTGCAGTCGACTACATGGGAGTCCAGCGACATAGCTATTAAGCCAACTGCTAGTCCCCCAATAAATTAAGTTTTTAAAAAGATAAAATTTGCAGTAAGTTTAGACTTTTTGCAAATAAATATAAGAATGTAGGACCAGCATTTGGCGTAATGGCTATGTCGCTGGTCTCCCATGTAGTCAAGTATGGTTTGAGTCCCAGACCTGGTGGCTTAACCTCCTGCTGGTCCTGTGTGTGCATGCCCAAGATCCCAAGAGGAGAAGGGATTGTGGCGTGATCATCCCCTCCCCTGGGTGGGGGGGGTGATTTCTCACTTTATGTCTCTCTGTCTCTCTGTCCCTCTGTCTTTCTGGTGAGCGCATGCACCCTCTAGCAAAAAACTCTCAAAAAAATATATATATAAGAATGTGTGACATATAGGTGCTCCATACATGTTATTATTGTCATTATTGTTATATAATGAAAGAATGATAGGTTAGCATAGCGTTAATGGAGACTATCATCAAATGGGAGAACTATGGCCTTCTTATCTTCTGATTATCTACAGTGAATACCTATTCTTTTCATTTTTAAAGAATTATTTATTTATTTAATTCCTTTTTTCCCCCCTTTTAACCACATAAAGAGAGAGAAAGGGAGCGAGAGAAAAAGAAAGTGAGAAAGCAAGTCACCCAGTCCAGGATTCAAACCACAGACAGCCATGTGGGATTCCAGCACCTTTAACCACCATGTCACCTGTCAGCCCCGCCATCTATTCTTTTCATGATAAGAAAAACAAAAATTATGAGAAGTGGTTCTGTAATTTTTTGTTTGTTTATTTTATTTCTTGAGAGAGATAACCACCCCCAACAGGGCACCATGCCAGTCAACCCCACCTCCAGCCTTCCCAGCCAGCCAGGATCATGGCGGCACCGAGCTGTGAGCTTCCATATGGATCCAGCATCATTTGAGCAGTTTGCTACCACTGGGCCAGCAAGCCAGCCAGTTCCGTAACATTTAAGCCAACCTCTGATAGGCACACAGCTTCTCCTCTCCACCCTCTAAATGACCTTTTCAACTAAGCATCCTCACCTGGCTGAGACCCTGTAGCAGAAAGTAATCTGCTCTGTGACAAGTGGTGAGAAACTCTTTTCCTCTGTCATGGAAAGAGGCAATCCTCAAAGAAGGAGAAATGCCAGGCACTGAGAGCAGACTTAGAAGAGTTGTTTTGGACCACAGGGGTCATCAAACAGTCATTTGAGCAGTACCCCTAGAAAGCTTCTCCCAGTAGAGACCAGATAAAGCCTACACTTGCCAGCAGGTGGCAGTATAAGACCATTTCTAGCTTCCCCAGCAATCAGCCTAGAGATCTTAAATGTTCTCAAACTACTGTCCAGAGAAAGGCAGCAAGAAAGTCCAGAATCCCAGTCCGTTGCTCTGTCCTGAGTCACGACACCATGGATCCTTGTACAAAGATTTTTAGATGGGCCACTCCATGGAGGAAGGAGCCTGGGAAAGCACCAAAAAGCTGAAGTCATCTTGGCATGTCTTCATCCTACATCTGCTTCCTTCCAGGGGTGGTTTCCACCAGCGAGTGTGGCTGTATGAGACAGGGTTACTGCTGCTCCACTGCTCCTGGCTGTTCTGGTTGTCTCCTGCTTGCCCTGAATACAGTGGGCCTAAAGCATCCTCTGAATGTCAAACTATTTTCTTAAGACTGATTCCAGGGACCAGCAGTTAGCGTAATGGCTATGTCTCTGGACTCCCATGTAGTCAACCGCGGTTCAAATCCCAGACCTGGTGGCTTAAACTCACACCAGGTGTGTGTGTGTGCCCAAGATCCCGAAAGGAGAACGCAGGAGAAGGTATTGCGGCATGGCCATCCCCCTGGGGGGTGATTTCTCGCTTTCTGTTTCTCTGTCTCTCTGTCTGGCGAGCGCACACGCCCTATAGCCAAAACCTCTAAAAAAAAAAAAGACCACAGTGCCAGCTCCATGACATGGTAGTTAATGCAGCTGGATTCTGCATGGCTGACTGCTCGGCTGTAGACGCTGGGAAACATGCTGGGCATGTGAGCATCCTTGTCCAAAGTCACAGAAGGACAAGGAGAGATAAATGCGGAAGGGAGTAACCCCCCATGGGGGAGCTTTCTCACTTTCCCTCTTTGGGTATCAATTCCCCTGCCAAATGCTGCCCCATCTCTTGGCTGGTGTTTACAGCAAATCTCTTACAATTGGTAGTCTTTTTTTTTTTTTTTTTAATTTGCTAGAGGATGTATGGGTTCACGAGAGAGCGAAAGCGAGAGAGAGAGAGAACTTCCTATAGGAGGTGGTCATGATTCAATTCCTCTCCTTCATTTCTACTTTCAGGATTTTGAACACACATACACACGTGCGTTTTGTGTTTTCCAAACCCCTGGGTCCAGGACTCGAACCATGCAAAACTGGCCATGTTAGGTTCACCCACCTTAACTATCACATTACAGGCTTCACCCCAACCCCCACCCAGCTGTCTTAAGCCAGTTCCTATCCGACCCACTGTGTTCATCACAGCAAGGGAAACACTGACCGTCATGTTGCTAAGTCCAGTGAGGGGCTCATTCTCGGGCCTTGTCCTAGCTGACCCATAGATAGCATTTGACACAAGTGGTCACGCCCTCAAACCTGAAGCACTTTTTTTCACATGCTTTTACACTCACCTGAGGTACTCTCCTATCTCAGTGCAAGCGCTCTTCCCAGCTCCCGTGTATCTTTCTCTTCTTCCCAGTCCTCAGGAGTGTCTCAGATTTAGTCTCTAGTTCTCTCAGACTCCAGACTTCTTTGTCTAACTGTCTGTTTGATGTATCCTCTTGGACGTCTGGTGGGAACTGTAAACAAAATGGTCAAAAACCGAACTCCTCTTAGTTTTCCCACTTCCACTCTCCAAATTGCTCCTCGGCTGATGTTAACTCTGTCCTTTGTGGGCAGGCAAGATCCTTGAAGTCTCTCTTGACCCTTCTTTTTCCTGCCTCCCATCCAGTCGTTCAGGAAATCATGTTCAGTCGACCTCCAGATATATCCGGTCTCTAACCACCTCCTCCCATGTCCGTTTATACCACCTGACTGAGCCACCATCACCTCGTGCTGGATTGCTGCAAAAGCCCCTACAGCTCTCCTTCTACTCTTGCCTCAACCGTATTCAGTACTCTCAACTGTGGAGTCTTGAATGATCCTTTTTAAAAATTCTATATCCAGGGAACCAGCAGGTGGCGTGGTGGTTAAGATGCTGGACACTCCCACGTGGCCAACCACAGTTCAAGTCCCAGACCTGGTGGCTTGCTTTCTCACTTTCCCTCTCTTTCTGTGTGTCTCTCTCTCTGGTCAAATTTTAAAAAATGAGTGAATAAATAAAATGAAATTAATATTTTTTAAAATTCTATATCTGGGATATATAAAGAACTCTTACACCTCAACAACAAAAAAGACAAATTACTGCATTAAGAAGTGAGTTAATGGAACCAGCAGGTGGCATGGTGGTTAAGGCCCTGGACACTCCCACATGGCCGACCATAGTTCTGGTCCTGGACCTGTTGGCTTGCTTTCTCACTTTCCCTCTCTCTCTCTCTCTCTCTGTGTCTCTCTCTGGTCAAATTAAAATGAGTGAATGAATAAATAAATAAATCTTTAAAAAATCAATTATCACTAAAAAAAAGAGTGAGTTAATGACTTGCATTGACACTTCTCTAAAAAAGGAATAAAGGGCAGCAGATAAATATGTGAAAAGATGCTCCACGTCCTTCGTCAGTAGGGAAATACAAATCAAACCATAATTAGATACCATTTCAAAATGACTAGGACAGCAATTAAAAAAAAAAAAAAAAGAATGAGTCAGCCCAGTAGCCTAGTGATTAAGGGAGTTGGAGGCCACTTGGTGACCACAGTTCAAATTCCGACCCAGAAGCTTGAAAACCACACTGGTTGTATGTGTGTGCACATGCCCCAAATCCCAACAGGATGGCGAAAGGAAGAAGGGAAAGCACCCTACTGAGGGCGCTTTCTTCCTCTCCTTTCTCCGCCTCACTCCAGCGAGTGCACCTAGCCTCTGGCAGATACAACAAACAATGGTGGGGATATGGAGAAACTGGAACTCCCCTGCATGGCTGGTAGGAACATGAAATGATGCAGCCGGAGTCAGACGGTGGTGCAGCCTCGCTGCTCTCAGGCTGACCCATAGGAAGGTCCCAGCTTCTTGTTGGGAGACCTCCTGAACACGTCAGGCATGATTCAGGGCTGGCTGAGGCTGGCCATCTCTCCAGGGGTGGATTGTGAATTAAGACCCTGTTGAGGGACCAGCAGGTGGTACGGTGGTGAAGGCGCTGGACACTCCCAGATGGCTGACCACTGTTCAAGTCCCAGACCTAGTGGCTTCCTTTCTCACTGCCCCTCCGTGTCTCTCTCTGCCGAATAATAAGCAAATGAACAAATAAAATTAAATAATTCTTAAAAAAAGAAAAGAAAAGAAAAGAAAAACACCCTGTTGCAGGCAGAGTGCCCACACTCTCTCTCATGGAAGAAATACATAAATAAATTTTAAATAAATAAATAAATGGTGAGACTGCTGTGAAGCTGTTTGACAGTTCCTCAAAAAGTTCAATGTAGAATCACCGTATGACCCAGCAAATTCCTTCCTGGGGTAAATCCACAGAGAACTGAAACAGGTACTCCAATAGCGTCTGTGCACAAATGTCCAAGCAGACCAACTCACAACAGCCAAAAAGTGAGGGAAAAAACAAATATCCATCCACAGACGAATGAATGAGTAAAACACGATACATCAAACACCAGAATAGTCTTCAGTCATAGAAAGGATCGAAGGGTCCAGCTTCAGTGGCTCAGTCAACAGCATACTGGACCATGAGCCAGAAGTTGCCGGCCATGGTTCGGGTGCCTGGCTGCGTGGGCCTGAAAACATACCGGGTGCGTGTGCCAGGATCCTGGCAGGCTGGAGGGCAGGAGGGTGAGCACGTGACCACACTCCGTAGAGGTGTGGCTTTCTCTTCCACTCTACCATGAACTGGGGGGGTGGGAGGGAGTGAGTGCATGCATGGTATAGGTGGATGGATTGCACAAACTGCTGAGTGTGAAAAGCTAGACACAAGGCCACATGTGGCGTGCAATACTCAGAATAGGTAAATGCACAGAGGCAGACAACAAACTGGTGGTTGCCAGGCACTGGGCTGAGAGGAAACGGAGAGAGACTGCTTAGCGGGCACAGGGTTTTCTCTTGTGGTTATGGAACTAGGTGAAGGCAGTGGGTACACAGCATCGTGCACTTTAAAACGGTGAGTTCTATGCTAGTGAATTTCACCTAAAAACCTAAATGAATAAAAGGCATGTCCTTTTGTTCAACAACTTGCAAGAGTACCCCAAATGACAAGGAGTAAAAGGCAAAGTCCTTTCCAGGGCCCACAAGGCCCCAGCTGACCTGCTGTCACCTCCTCCCTCCTCTCCTGCTACTGTCCCCCTCCCTTGCTCCACTCCACTTGGGCTACCCTGACTCCCTGCTGTCCCTCCGGCCTGCCTGGCCTGCTCCCTTCAGCTGCTCCCTCTGCCCTGAACGACTTTCTACAATATCTTCAGTTCTACTGTCTTCCTCATCTCCTCCACATCTTCATTCAAATCTCTCTCTGAAGACGCTACCTAAAACTTTGCCTGTCACCTGAGTCTCTTCACCTGCTTTTCCTTCTGTTTGCTCATAGCACTTGCCACCTACTGATCTACTGCCATATTTAGTTACCGTGTGTTTATTTTCCCTCTGCTGGAACGTAGATTTTTTTCTGATAAAGTTCCTAACATAGTGCCTGCAACAGAGTAGATCTGAACAAATATTTATTAAGTCAGTTGTGGAGGAACCAGCAGATGACATAATGGTTATGTCGCTAGACTCCCACGTAGTCAACCACAGTTCAAGTCCTGGACCCGGTGGTTTAAAAGACCTGCAGGGTGTGTGTAAGTGCGTGCCCAGGATCCTAAGATGAGAATGTGGCATGGCCATCCCCCCTGAGGGGTGATTTCTCACTTTCTGTCTCTCTGTATCTGTCTCTCTGGTGAGTGAGGGGCCCTATAGCAAAAATATCTCTCTCTAATATATATGTTGCTTTGGAGTTTGTTCTCCAATACTTCATGGTTAATGAATTAGAACTCCCACAAGTTTGTAGAACCATAATAATTATCTTTATTTTTGGATTCCTTTTTCTGGTGGTAGCATTGTGAAAATTATCTTGAAAAGGTTCTTGGTTCTTTAACTCTAGAGGAAAACACCTGTTTTTGGAAGAATCATGAACTATTGTTTCTGTGACTGAAAAAAGGACTTCTTTGTCCAATAAAGATGCCCCCTCTATCATGTTCATTTTATAAATAGACACATATGCACATAGTTTTGACATATGGACACATTAATCCCCCCCCCCCATGCCCCACAGGTCCAGCCCTCTCTGATTTTCTCTCTGATGCTGTGACTTCAACTGACAGCAGCTCTCATCTTGCATGATTACTTTAATTCCCCAATCTCCCAGAGAGCCCACTCATCTCTCCGGCTGTAACTTAGCACCTCTGTCATCCGGAGACCTAGGTTCGGCCCACCACCATATCCCTCGGCTGTTTCAATATTACAACGCCCGCCGCCTCCCTGTAGCAACGGCTAAACCACCCATCTTCCCCCAGAGTGGAAGCTCACCACTTCACACTTGCTCGCTTTGGTCTATGGGCTCAGAGCCTGGGCAGTAACAGATGCTCAGTTAGTTTTTCTTGGGGACGTGAAAAGGCGGAGGGAGACGTTTTCTAACCAGAGTGCCTTGTTAGAGGCTTGGAGGTCTCTGACCTAGTGGCAGATTCCGAGGACCTTTTGAAGGAGCCTTGATCATCTCTCTGTCAGATAAGCACACTGGAAAGTCAGAGCAACAAGGGCTCCTCCGGCTGCAGGCTCAGTGGCTGAGCTGGCGCCCAAGGCTAAACCGGACTATGGGGCCAGCAGGTGGCATGGCGGTTAAGAGGCCGGACTCCCACATGGCCAGTAGAAGTTCCAGCCCCAGGCTAGGTGGCTGGGAAATCACTCCTGGCACATGTGCGTGCCCCAAATACTGAGGAGGATGGAGGAGGGATTGCAGGGCCATCCCCATGGCGAGGACTACCTCTCACTTTACCTCTCTTTGACTCGGTCTCTCCCTGGCGAGCACGTGCCTTATGAAAAAAACTTAAACAAACAAACCTGGACAATCTTTCCACTAAAGCATGATTTTTGAGGGGCAGGGTGTGGGAAGTCCCTACCTTTGCAGCAGCTTAACCTCCTGGAGTCTTTACAAACCCCCTGGGAGATAATAATGTTGGGTTCCGCTGGATTCCCGGGGCGTAGACTGTTTTTCAGCCTCCAGCCCCCATTGCCCCGGGTTGCCCTGTGCCTCCCCTGAACATGCCCGGTATGAGTAAGCGTCCCTCTGGAGTCCCCAGGTCCCAGTTAGAATCCGCTCCAAGCCTACAGCTTGTGACCTTGGTCCAGGAACGCAAACCCCGGGCTCTGTTTCTGGAAAGTGGGTATCTAGTGTCACCAACCCGATGGGACTGCGGAGGCATGGACTCTGGTCGGGGAGAGAAAGTGCCTGGCCTCAGTTTTGGCAAGCCTCAATTGTGTGTCTCAACACAGCGTTGGCGAGTTGCAGGAATCTGGGGGAAAGTGTACAGAAATGGGAGACAGGATCCCTGGCTTCTAGCCCTCCCTCACCCGCCGGGTCACCTTGACCAACCCCCCTACCCTCTCTGTGACTCGGTCGGGGCCTGAAAAGTGACAGAGGTTCTTCTGGCGATGTCCCTCCGGCTGGTGACATTCTAAGATTCCAAGAGCGAATGAACTCGGTGGGGGTGGGGGTGGGGGGTAGAGG